ATAAAAGCATAATTCCAGTGCTGTGTTGTGCAAGGTGCTGTACAACAGGGAGTGACTGTCACAAACCTTTTGGAGAGCAGAAGTATTGTGTGTGTGCATAGCTTCGTTGTTGAGCAAGCTTTTGCTCTTGAAGTAGCTACTCTGAGGAAAAGTTTTGGGGTCTTAAAAAAAAGAAAAACAAAATAACAGCAACAACAACAAGAAAAGCCACAAACAAAACCCCCAACAACAACTAAAAAGCCAACACCAAAAAACTTGTCTAGGGAAAGAGTTAAAGCCATCTGCCTGAAAGCATTGTGTAAAACATACACACAATGTTGGGGAAATAAGCCAATTATGTGTGCTTCACAGGAGGTGGGGGACTGACCTTTGTGTATAATTAGTTCTTTTATTTAAAGCAAAGATTTTGAATAGAATAACTAATTAGCTGTCATAAATGGCAAATTGAAGATTTTGGCCGGATTCCTTGGGGAGAGTGGGAGGACGTCCCTCCTCCCAGCCCGTACTGTACGCTCTGGCTCTCCTCATTAGGGCTGTTTTTAGTTCTCCGCAGCGGTAATGAGGAGTGCAGCGGCGGCACTTCTCTAATAATGCATGAAATGCAGGTGGAGCAGAGCTGCCTGCAGCTCCTGCTGCCTGCTCCCCACACATGTGGGTGTAGCTGAGGGGGACAAGCTGGAGTGGAGGGGGTGTCTGGAAAGTCCTGGTGATATCACCTGTGTTTTATGCTCTGGACTCGACTGTATAAAATACAGGCAAGCTGCAAAGCCTTGAGGCATATATCATTAGCCAGCAGTCCCCCATTACTCTTTCAGACCAATTAACCTTTAGAGTTGCATTAGAGAAATTAGGTGGTGAACTTCCCTGCTTTCAGAGGGGACCTCTAGCTCTCTTGCAGACCAGAGCACTGTGGAGCCGTGCGCCGTAGGACCAGTGCAGATAACTGTTATTTAAAAGGTCTGCCATTTATGAAAAGTTCCCAGGCTCTCTTGGAAAGGAGGCTTTATGAGCAGAGCCCTTAGAGGAACCACAGCTGATTGCCATGTGAATAGAAATATCAGTAAAATGGCTTGGAAAAATTTAGAGGTGTACTTAGTGGACACTTGTGTTATAAAGCCAGCTGAATCATTTTACAGGAAGACCCCGACTGAGCAGATACGGGCTGATTAAAGCTTGTTTGTCCGGCTGTGAATAGTGGTAAAGTTTGGATTACTCACTACAATAACAGCCTCTTTAGACACAGACATAAATTTCAGTATGTCCAGAGGTGGTGTCTATAATTTTTTAATGTGTATTGGAGCTCTGAGCACTCAGAGCGGGTTTAGTTTTGTATTTACCAGCAGCAAGTCTATTAAGTTGTAAAGGGCAAAGAAGGGAGTGTAGGTAGCCAGAAATAGAAAGGATTCATCTACTGTTTCTAAGAAAAGAGAGCACTGGATGTCTAGCAACAGGAGAGGAGAGAGCAACTTGATGGTACTTTCAGAATTTGGCAATAATCAGTGTTCCCTTGTGATCATGTATTTAAATATGTGAGGGTGCAGCTGTTAATTTTTCTAGTTCTGCAACACTTCTCATTTTCTTATCCTCCTCCACAGAGCACATGTGGAATTTGTCAAAGGTGACCCCTTTGTTTCTTGTCAGCCCCAGTTAGACACCACATGCTCCTTATCATGTTGAACTGGATATCTTGACATTTTTAGGCAAGTACTGGAGGAAAATGGACATAGCAAAATGAAGCCTCATCTCAGTCTTGGCAGTGGGGAAACTACCAAAAAAGAAAGAGCAGTTCTCCAGGCGGCTTCTGCCTGCAGAGCCCAGGCTGCTTCAGGTCTGCTGGGAGGGTGAGGCAGGAGGAGGAAAGCAGGGTTTGGTGTTGATTGTGTCCTCTCTGTGCAAGCCTCTGACCGTAAAAAGGGTTAAGCTTCTGAGATGCTTCTCTCTTGTTGCTTGGAAATGACACGGCAAGTGCTCCAGGAACCCTTGCTGATCAAGTTTGGCAGTTTTTGAAATTTTGTTTCACGCCTTGCCTGCTGTGTCAACTCACCAGCTAATTGCAGTGCAACTTTCTGTAGTGGCTTGTGTGCTCTGTGCAGACCGGTTGGTTGGGATGTCGGAGGGAAACCTCACAGCCCAAAATGTAATTTCAAAACACTGAACCTGACCAGCAGAGGCTGACCTTGCTCGTTATTATCTGAGTGGGAATAGCAGCTTTGAACATCATATGATCTCTGAAATGGTACCTTTTTTCATTAGAAAGCCCCCTGCTGAACACTGACCAAATACATAGCTTTTTTCCTTGCTTAAGGTACTGCTTAAAAATATATCTATATCTGTTCCTTCGCTAGTTATTAGAAGCAAATCAAAGTGTTACATTCCCCTTACTTGCAGAAGCCTCTCATAAGACAGTGATGCTCTTGCAATAGCGAGGAGCTCAGATGGCTGCGGAGAGCAAGGGCTGCCAGGGCCACAGACGGAACAAGAACTGCCCCTGCAGTCAGCCCTCAGCCATCCAGGCCTGCTTGCCACAGGAGACCTTCCTAACCTGCTCTAAATGTCCAAACCAGCCTCTCCCAATGGTCCAGCCAGGGTTTCATCCCTGCACAGCTGCCCCTGTGCTTGACGCTGCTGCTGCGTTGGCATCCTTTCTCTGGGTGAGGGCAGCTGTACCTCGGAAAGGGCACTGCTTTCACAAGCCAGGCCTTGGGAAGCCCCATCTGCCTGAGGATCTTGTATTTCTGAACCACAGAGCTGATCTCAAACCCCACCCATGCAGCAGCTCTCTTAAGGTGTGCTGGTTATGTGGAATCTGTGTCTTTCCAGATGCGGGATCCTCGTGTTATCTACACAAACCCTGCAAAAGAATTGTATGATGACCTCCCTCTCTGTGAGAAATCCTCCTCTGCCTCCAAGGGTAGACATTTAGAGAGCCTGTTTGGGGGGTGAATAATGACTTGCTGGTGTCTGGGGCTCCTATCTAAAAACATAATTCTCACATCTAGGCCCTAGTTTCCATAGGTGCGAACTGTTTTCTTTCATCACTGCTACTGATCTTACACAGCTTGCAAATGCAAATTCACATGCTCGCCCTTCTCTGCCTCACAACAAGGCAGACTCTTCTCACAATGTGCAGTTTTCCTGCGGTGGAGTCGGGAAGAGCATGGAAATTACTCGAAAATTGAAGCCTCTTTTTGCTAATGAAATGTATTTTGGATTTTAAAAACCCAAACAAAGGTGTGTCTAGAACCACAGGGCCTCTGATCTCTGGCACCTGCAGCATAATCCACTTCTGATACTTCCCTGTCTTGTCCCTCTTTCCAAATGTGTGTTTCTCTGTGGCTTTGTATGTAGAATTTCTCTTGGGAGCGTTGCCGGTTGCATATGTGGCAGTCTAATACAGACACAGGTTTTCACTTAATTACTGCAGATCTGCCACTGGTGTCAAAAGTTTCCTTGCAGAGACTTGGCAAACGAGTTTTGAGTGTGCTGCAGCAGAGGGCAGGAGGGTTCTTTAAGCCTTTAGGGTTTTTGAATGTTACTTGGCCTGTCTCTGTGCTGCTGAGACCACTTTGATTACAGATGGATCAATACCTCGCTGTTTGTGTGGAGGTGTCCTAAGTGCTATTGTCGTCTGCTCGCGGCTCTGAAAAAGCAATTATTACTGTGGGAGTGGTGGGTTTACATGTGCTCACCATTAGCCACTCTCAGGTCACCCTGGCTTTTAAGGAAAGCAGCAAATGTCACTTACTGCAGTGGCACTGGCTCGGTCCTCTCTGGTTAAGGGACTGTTAATAATTCTATTATCAAGCTGCTGCTTTCTGGGACATCCAGCGCTTCCTACAGAAAGGGTGGAGCAACTTTGTGTAAGAGTATACAACCAGTGACACCTGCTGCTGTGCCAGTGTCCCTTCTCATCATCCCTGCATTGGTTAAGCCCACAGTGTGCTTGTTGACAGGCCCAGCATTGTCATTTGTGGTGACTGACACCAGTAAAAATAAAAATCATAACAAATTGAGTCAAGGCTCTAGAGCAAATGGAATTCTGGCATCTCAGTGAGTTAATTTATTCTTGGATCATTTCCTGTCCTATCCCTCGCCCACAGTACAATCCTTGTTTATTTTTCCACCTGGCCTATTGATTCCATGAAGTCCTTTCCTGCCTGGCTCTTAAACTGAGAAAGGTGACGGGTATCACAGTGCTCACCATGGCAGGCACTGGCTGCTTGGAGAAGAGCATCTACCCAGCTATCTCATGCCTGCTTTGCACTCCCAGCAGGGCTTTCCAGGAAGGAAGAAACTCCTGGCTTTTTTGCTACCTTCTCCAGTGATACAAGAGGAGGAGGAAAGCTCTGCTTTGCTTATGGGATGTGGCTTCACTAGTGACAGAGGGGCAATGGTGGGGTTATTCTCAGCAGCCCTCAAGGGCTTTTGAATCAAATTTATTCTCAAGGGCTTTTGAATCAAATTTATTTTGGAGCAGCCCCTTGCCTGCTCTGGCTTTCAGTCAGACCTCTTGTCACCCACAGGATTCACAGGAGAGAAAAAACAGTGGCATACCACATCTTTTTATACATGCTCCTCTCCCTTCCCCCTCAAACTCAATTCAAACTCCAAGATGCTGGACCAGGGGGTTACATACAGTGATGGCCCTTCTGCTCTTTTTAATTGCCTGTGGCAGGTAATTGCCAACAGGAGGGTTGTTGTGAGGTAATTAGGGGAAAAAATAAATGTTGAAATTTCAGCCAGCTTATTCTGCTGCAAGATGTTGGTTAGAAAGAGTCTGGTGCGTTGTGTCTGTCCTACCCTTAGGAAAAAAGGGCTGCGTCCCTGCAAGCGTCGCGCTCCAGCAAATGAAGTTAGGATTCCTTTGACTGTCAGCTCCATGCAACGTGAGCTCCTTGCAGTGGCAGCAGCAGCAGTGTTTGCTGCCAGCTCTGCCCCCAGTGCCCCCTCCCCAGGCTGTTGGGATGGCCTCTAAAGGAAGCGCTGTGCTTGCCTTGCAGGTGTGCCGATGCTATCCGTACAACCCAAAGGGAAGCAGAAGGGCTGCGCCGGCTGCAACCGAAAGATCAAGGACCGCTACCTGCTGAAGGCTCTGGATAAGTATTGGCATGAAGACTGTCTAAAGTGTGCCTGCTGTGACTGTCGTCTTGGAGAGGTTGGATCAACTCTTTACACAAAAGCAAATCTCATTCTCTGCCGCAGAGATTACCTGAGGTAAACAGAGGGACGTACTGCGGGCTCTTCCTGAAGCCTCGCAGCGTGCTGCCGGCTGTCTGGCTTCCTAAAAATGTGAAAACGTGTGCTTGTGGCTGGCCAGCCCTGCCCAGAGGACACTGGAGCTTCTTCCACTGTCTAAGCACGGCTTTCTACTTGCACTTAGCTTATTTTGTAGTCTGGGAGGTGAAATTCTGGTTTTAGGTGAAGATATGAGGAAGAGGTAATGACTTTTTATTATTATTATGGACCAACAAGAACAAACTCTGCCTGCTGAGTAAATTAGGAAAACCTCTTTATTCTCCTTGCATATCCCTGATGCTATATTTCTGTATACTGACTGAGACCTGACCAGCCCTTTACCTTTTCTTTTTCAGTCATAGCTTTTAGACAGATTTCTAGTCTTGAGTAAGGTTTCTCCCAAGGGGCTCTTGCCTCCTCCCTAACTAAACAGACCAAAACTCTAAAATTACAGATCAACTTCAAAAAATGTTTCTGTCTGAGGAAATCAGCAGAGACCATCACTAGCTTGGAGTTAGAACCATTCTGTCAGTGTGTGTCTGCAATACATAACAACACATGGGATTTTTTTGCCTGGTGTGTATGGGGGTTTTGTGCAAAATACTTTATGCAAACATAAATGAATATTAATAAGACAGCAGGCCTAATGCAAACATTATTATGAGGGTCACACTGCAAAACACTCTGAGTTTTGCTTTGTTTTTTGCTTTGGAAGAATGTACTTGATCTCCAGCTAATGTGTATGTTTTCTTTTATTTTTCCTCAAGCACTGGTAGCATTTCCCAGGCAAGCTCAACCAGCAAAACATCTGAAGCAAAACAAACCGAACACACTGTTGTAAGATAGGGAGGTAAAATGCCTTCTAACCTTGCAGTGTTCAGGGGCTGCCTAGATTAGTGTCAGTGCTCAGATGCTTCGTGTGTTTCAATGGAAAACGTTTTTTCGGAAAATCTTCAGTAAATATTTTCTTAGTAAACTTGAACAAACAAGTTTCTCCTCCTAAAGGCGAGAGATTAAGCACTGAGCCAAACAGAAGGACTGAGTCTGTCAGCTGCCATGTGGGAGCTGTCACCTTGCCCTTCAGCCCAGCAGTGCATGAGAGCATCCTGCCCACAGGAGGGTTTTAGAGCTGAAACTCTTCGGGGAACATGTGAAATATCCCAGGTGAAATTCTGCCACACAGGCAGCACTTGCAGCTCCACATCTGGTTAGGTGGGGTGTGTCCCCAAAATCTATGTGAGGGAGGAGAAGCTTGGGTAAGGGTGAACAGGTCTGAGGTGGAAAAGACAAGATAAGCAGCCTTTGGAAAAGTGGAAAGGGTGAGAAGAGGAAAGAGTTAACTGTCTTCACTATAATGAAATAATTTTTGTACCTTCCTTAAATCTGAGTATTTTCTAATGTCACAAGTCACTTGCTCTGAAAGCATCCTTAACCCTGTCTGTGCTAAGCTAAAAAAAATGAGCTCCAGAAAGTTTGAATTCAACACAAAGATTTCCACCCCCAAATTAGCATTTTGGTTCTTCTTCAGCTTAGCTATACTCTTTCTGTGTTGTGGACATAATTCTGATGTGTCAATGAAAAATATTTCAGTTCTTGATCTTCCTTTTTGAGGAGGCCTTTCATCACAGTATCACAATTGGGTCACGTTAGATACTATCACAAGGACCCCCAAAATCTCTCAGGAGAGCTTCTTCCAGGAATAGTTTACTTTCCAGGAAGAGCAGCTGCATTATTTTCTGAAGTATTTGTTTATACTTTATCTTGTTTATACATTATCTTTTCTTTATCTTGTTTGCACCCAGCTTGCCAACTGATACAGGTTTCTCTATCTGTCATCCTCCACTTCATTATTTGTCACTTGACTTTGTCATTTCTGGTCTTGAAAAAGTGTTGTGTTTGTGATTTTTGTTTTTTTGGTTTTTTTTTTAATTTGACCCTGAAGACAGATATTCAGCTTTATGCTATATGTTGCAGAACCCTGTTAGAAATACTGAGCTGGACACTGTTTCCAATTTACATTTGCTTTTTGAGACCTGTGAGCTATCCCATGTTTTGTCCATTTAATAATCACCGTATTGATTTTGGTTTATTCTAGTTTCATAACAAAAATAATGTGTGGCATCAAATCAGACATGTTAAAGTGCCAAAGGACAGCGGTATTGATGCTGTTAGGTTTAGAAGGACCTTTTTTATCACTGGAGTTGTAGAGCTCTTTCTTTCTTTCTTTCTTTGGTTTTTGCCATGAATGCTGCTTCGAGGTGGAAGAGCTGAATCTGTGATTTTCCCACTGGCCCCTAGATGATGTGAGTTTTCTGGGGCACACCAGAAGCCTGTGCTGGAGATGGAAAAGAAGCCATTGCAGACTGCAGGAAGTGTCCCAGCTTTGTGAAGAGAGGGAAATTCATGGCATGAACCATGGAAGGCAACAGCTGGAACTTATGTTTGACCATGGCCATGCAGATTCTATCCCAGCACCAGTTAAACATGGTCTCTGGAACAAAATTCTGTGCCTGAAAGGTGTCCTGTAACAACTCTGTCTCCCTTTTTGAGGGTGGAATAGTTCCTGGCCTGACAGGGGGGAAGTCTGTTGCTATTTGTGCATGGTTAAACTGTAAAGTTTAATTGTTAATTGTAAATGTTAAACTGTAGAGACTTGTGTAGCCTTTACAGTAAATATTTTCCCTTTATCTGAATTTAGGGTGTTAGAGCTTTGACTGTTTTTTATTGGGAAGAACATGGTCATATCCCAGTTGTCATATCTTGGGAAATTTAACGAAGACTCAGCTAGGAAGGAATAATATTAACTCTGTAATAGCGCTGTTAATTAGCCTTCAGCTGTTTAGGCAGCTGTTTACAGCTGTTTACAGCTATCATGGCTTGTATTCTTACAAATAATTTGGTTTATACTGGGGTTTTTTGAGGGGCTCTGCTGAACTCCTGGGGTCTTTCAGGCTCCCAGCATAGGAATAAGGGGATTGCTATGCAGCCCCATATTTATAGAAATATAAAGCAATTTTTTACTTTAAAACATCTTGTGTTGACTTCTACACAAAATATTTCTTTCTCTCTCAATTTTAAGTATTAGTTCTATTAATAGAAGGAGATAAATTTGCCATCACGATCTTCTCTACTGTCTGTTCCCTCCTGATAATTTGAATTTTTCTTCTTGGAGAATTAACCATCCCCATCATCATTATATAATTCATTCACATTAGTAGTTTTAGAGTCTCTATCCCCATTTTTTCTTCCTTGTTAAACAGCTCACAGTGTTTGGCCTACTAGCCAAATTTTAGCAGAATTCATTCCTATAAATAACTTCTCATGCTTCACACTGTAGTTGTACCATAAATGGAGCACTTTACCTGGAGGACAGTCAGAGGAATTCAGTCAGAGGGCTCCTGGAATATTTTGTAGTCAGTTTTCAGCTCTGGGACCCTCCTGTGCCACCCCTCCTGAGGGCAGGCACCGATGAGCCATGCAGGGACTGGGGCTAGGGATGGACTTGTGGCAGAGGCTCAGGACAGGAGCGGTGCCAGCTCCTTCCCTGCTGTGGCAGCGTTCCTTTGGAGCTGGCTTTGTCCCAGGCACTGGGAGCACGGTGGGCTGCCAGCTGTGGGTGCTGATCCTCAGTGGGTTTTCAGCAGAAATCTTCCCGACGTGTTCCAGGAGCTGCGAGCAGACCGTAGCCTGATCATTTGTTTCAAAAGATAAACTGTCGTCATTGCTTGTGAAGGAACATTTGTTAACCTTCACTTTTCATAAAACACTTTCTTGCTCATTTTTTAATCATGAAAGATGAAATTGGATCTCGAGTTGTTATCCTTGTGGTATCACCTCAGTCTCCAGCTGTGTCTCGATGTATCTTTCAATACATTTCATCTCAGCAAATAGATTTACCATTTGTTTCATAATCGCAGTTCCAGCATTCCTACCTCTAATTATTTTTGATAAGCAAATGCTATTGAAGGAACTGCTTCTGGGACAGAGCAGCTTAGCATGCAGGCTCAGATGGCTCCTCGCAGCCCCCACGCAGCGATGTGTGTTTGTTCCGAGGCATAATTAAACATTCACCAAGCTCCGCTTCACAGGGACGGGCTGGGTGTTGCATCAGGATTTCCCGTGAGGAACTGACAACTTAAATTTCACTGTGAAGTGCTGATGAAGAACGCGATTTTTCCTTTTTACTCAGCATGGTGCCCTCACACGAGCAAAGGCGAGTCGGGCTTGCTTTGAGAGGAGCAGAACTGTTGCTTCTGCGTGTTTGATATGCTGCTGTTGGGAAAGTTTTTCATCATGTAAACTGATTGGGGCCTTAATTAGACTCCAAAGCAAGCGCAAAACCTGCATTTAAAAATGATGGTGAATCAGTAAAAGAGAAGGGCTTCCCGGGAAACCCTGATGCTGTTCTCAGTGGGTTTCATGGCAGTTCTTTTTCACCCACTTTCCCACATGTTTGGATCAGGGCTGCAAACTCAGCAAGGCATCCCTCTGCACCTGGTGTTGGTGCCTCCGGGGAGCAGAGAAGTCCTCTGCATCCCACCTGAGGGACAGGGACCTCCTGGCAGGTTTGCCATCCCCTGTCACCCCTCAGCACTGTCTGTAGCACAGAGGCTTGAACTCCACCCTCGGCAGCTCCTACTTCAGATGACTCAGGTGCCAAGTCCTGGGGGTTTTGCCCTACTCCAGACACCCCTGGGCATTAATTCTGTCAGTGAATGCTTTTAGGAGCCCTTTTGGTGAAGTGTTCTATACCTGGCAAATATGCAGGGTTTAATTTTCTTGCGGGATAAGAGCAGAACCATGGGTGCCCTGCTCTGCTGGCACAGGAGGATGTGGATAAATTCCCTCCTTCTGGTGGCCTTCCCCAAGTCAAACCCTGAGCCAAACCACTAAACCATGGCTGGCTGTGTGAGAGCAAGCCTTTGGGAACTGAGATGTGTGTGCCCCAACAGAATTTAAGTTCAATTTAAGTTAATCTC